AGAGTTACTGGAGAATCTATATATAGTATGCTTAAACTCTAAGAAGCACTTGTAGATGAGGTAAATTTAATGTTTGCAAGAATATATATCAAGAATTCATATAAATATAATATTTCCACTGTTTTGTAGAATGATAAACCACTTTATCCTCCAAGATTGATGAAAACTATAATATTGAGCAATCCATTTTCTGATATTATACCAAGAATAATAGTACAGAAAAGTGAAAAAGTAAAGTACAATTCAAAGACTAAAACAGCTTCAGTAAAGTAAAAATCATATATGTTTGCAGAATTGAGCTCTGATAATATTGTTCTTTACAATGAAAAATTTGGTTACAGAGATTTCAATCTTTTATCATTTGGTGAAGAAGTAGAGGAAGATGAAGAAGAATCTGTGATACTAAATAAAAGTTTCGCGATAAGGGCAAATTAGCTCATGATCATTTTACTGATCCAAAATTAAGTTCACAACCAGCTGTTGAAACCCTTGGACTTGTAAATAAAAAAAGGAAGGAAGACCGTAGTAGCGATTGAGAAAGTGACGATGAAGTAAAAACTCAAGTAGAATTAGAAGTTATAAAAAAAGAGAAAGAGTTAGTTTATTGTTTACATTATAACTATGTTATAGAAAGTAGGATTTTTCATTGACTGTCTTATATTTATATTTTACGGGTAATGAAGGTTAAGAATAAAAAATAAATTGAGAGATATAAAAAAAAGAACCAAAGAATTAGGTTGTTAATAATTAACGTGTATATGTGAAACTTCCAAAGTGAATAAAAGGTACCTAAGTATATAACCATCGTAGTCTCATTTTCTTTTTACCAAAAACAAAATCACTCGCTTTCATCTGTGACTTAATGTTCGTTTATAATTAATTCATCAACTTTTATAATTGCATCGTGAAGACACAGCGTTAGCGAGCCTTCTAATATAAGTCTGGATATGAATTCATTGTTATTTAATTCATTATTGCTGATTATTGCATAGAGTGTTTGACCATTGCCAAAGATACTAATGGTTTGTGTTTCCATTAGTGTAATGGAATAATTAATAATTTCAGTTTATGAATTAATTATAGAAATTTGGAATTTTTCGCAATAGAAATATATTTATATTTGCTTCATTGACATTATTAAATATGAGAGACAAAGTTTGATATTTTACATCGATACTTTATCACATAGCTATTTCAAAGATGCAACATTTTCCCGCTACAAAAATACCTAGCATTTCCGGCTGCAGCCAACTTCCAGTTGGCGGCAAACGGGCATAACAGTAACATCGTGCAATATTCTCCGCGTCAAAATAAAACATTAAATCTCAGAACGTTTCGTGAAGTAGTGATATCGCTGATTGACGTCTTAATTACTTTATGAAGTTCAAGATTACTAACTGTGAACATTTCTACGGTGGTAATATACTACATGTGAAAAAAAGTGATGTTACATAGTGTAAACTGTGGAATGATACATGTGCGAAATGAAGTGGTGTGAGTGCGCGATCCTATAATACTACCGGATTGTCCGTTATTATCGGCTATAGAAGATTCCAGATTTCGACAGTTCGTTGGAATATTTGATCATTACTCTGAATAGGCAGCGTTTAAACAGTTTTTTCAATTTTCCTTCGATCTTGACATTCCATTGCAATATAGTTATGTATTGTCCCTTTTACATTCTAAATTTCAATTGTGGATTAGAATATTTCCTCTCTACTGCATAGAATAGGCTGTTCTCCAACCAGTAGAGCAATTACATTACGATTGAAGGTGCATATATGAAACAAAGTAACGGAAAAGCAAGTGCCTGTGAAATCGTTCTATAGAGTAAACTTTATTCGCCTATATTTCTGAAATTAGGCTCTTCGGTTAGATTTTTTCGGCATAACAGCGTAGAGTGAATTCTTCCTTAACGGGATTGGATATTTTTTTTCGGTTTCAAGCGTGCGTTTTCGAGAAATAGTGCCGGAAGTGTCAGTGGCTCTCAGATCGTGCTGCACAATTTACTTTTTGGCTTCTATCTTTTGAATTAGGCTTTTTGTATCGGATTTTTCCACTGATTCGCGTAGAGTGATTTATTCCTTAACGGGATTGGATATTTTTTTTCGGTTTCGAGCGTGCGTTTTTCTAAAATAGTGCCGAATGTGTCAGTGGCTGTCAGATCGTACGACGCAATTTACTTTTTTGGCTTCTATCTTTTGAATTAGGCTTTTTGAATCGAATTTTTCCACTGATTCGCGTAGAGTGATTTTTTCCTTAACGGGATTGGATATTTTTTTTCGGTTTCGATCGTGCGTTTTCCAGAAATAGTGCCGGAAGTGTCAGTGGCCTGTCAGTTCGTGTTGCGCAATATATTTTTTGTCTTCTAGTTTTTGAATTAGGCTTTTTGGATCGGATTTTTCCCGTGATTCGCATAGAGTGATTTTTTCCTTAACGGGATTAGATATTTTTTTTCGGTTTCGATCGTGCGTTTTCGAGAAATAGTGCCGGAAGTGTCAGTGGCTGTCAGATCGTGCTGTGCAATTTACCTTTTTTGGCTTCTAGTTTTTGAATTTGGCTTTTTGGATCGGATTTTTCCCGTGATTCGCGTAGAGTGATTTTTTCCTTAACAGGATTAGATATTTTTTTTCGGTTTCGATCGTGCGTTTTCGGGAAATAGTGCCGGAAGTGTCAGTGGCTGTCAGATCGTGCTGCGTAATAGACATTTTTGGCTTCTATTTCGAAAATTAGGATTTTTCGTTAGGTTTGTTATATATATTCGCGTAGAGTGAATTTTTCCTTAACGGTATTGGATATTATTTTTCGTTTCCAAGCGTGCGTTTTCGAAAAATAGTGCCGGAAGTGCGATCTTGTGCGACTGGCTACTGCGTAGTTTCCCGTCGGCTTTTATCTTGTCGAAGTAGGGACTGCTGATATGAATTTTTCTACTTATCTCTGTAGAGCAAAGCCTCCGCTAATATAATCAGTTGTTTTTTTCCGAATTTGATTACGCATTTTTAAAAAATTGTGCCGGAAGTGCGATCGCGTGTGACAGGCTACTGCGTAGTTTCCTATCGGCTCTTATCTTGTCGAAATAGGGACTGCTGATAAGAATTTTTCTACTTAACTTTGTAGCGCAAAGCCTCCTCTAATAGAATCAGTAGCTTTTTTCCGAATTTGATAACGCGTTTTCGAAAAATAATGCCGAAAGTGCGATCGCTTGTGACAGGCTACTGCGTAGTTTCGCGTCGGCTCTTATCTTCACGAAATAGGGACTGCTGATAAGAATTTGTCTATTTATCTCTGTAGAGCAAAGCCTCCTCTAATAGAATCAGTGTTTTTTTTTCGATTTTGATAATGCGTTTTCAAAAAATAGTGCCGGAAGTGCGATCGCGTGTGTCAGGCTACTGCGTAGTTTCCCATCGGCTCTTATCTTGTCGAAATAGGGACTGCTGATAAGAATTTTTCTACTTATCTGTGTAGTGCAAAGCCTCCTCTAATAGAATTAGTAGCTTTTTTCCGAATTTGATAACGCGTTTTCACAAAATAGTGCCGGAAGTGCGATCGCGTGTGACAGGCTACTGCGTTGTTTCCCGTCGGCTCTTATCTTGTCGAAATAGGGACTGCTGATAAGAATTTTTCTACTTACCTCTGTAGCGCAAAGCCTCCTCTAATAGAATCAGTGTTTTTTTTTCGATTTTGATAATGCGTTTTCAAAATATAGTGCCGGAAGTGCGATCGCGTGTGACAGGTTACTGCGTAGTTTCCCATCGGCTCTTATCTTGTCGAAATAGGGACTGCTGATAAGAATTTTTCTATTTATCTCTGTAGAGCAAAGCCTCCTCTAATAGAATCAGTAGCTTTTTTCCGAATTTGATAACGCGTTTTCGAAAAATAGTACCAGTAGTGCGATCGCGTGTGACAGGCTACTGCGTTGTTTCCCGTCGGCTCTTATATTTTCGTAACAGGGTCTGTTGATCAGAATTTTTTGTGCTAACTCGATAGAATAGATTCTACTCTAATAGAATCAATGGTTTTTTTCCGGTTTGTGTTGCCCCTTTTTCGAAAAATACTGCCGGAAGTTTGAGTGTTTGTGATTGGGTACTGCGTCGTTTTCCGTCGGCTGTTATATCTTCGATACATGGACTGCTGATAAGAATTTATTTGCTAATTCGGTAGAATGTATTCTTCTGTTACAGATCAATGGTTTTTTTCCTGTTTCGACCTCGCGTTATTGAAAAATAGTGCGGTAAGTCCGAATGGATGTTACTATCGCGTATGTCGTTTCTCGTCGGCTCTTGTATTTTCGAAATGGGGCTTTTAATTAGAATTTTTCTATGTACCTCTATAAACTATGCTTTTGTCTAATTTGTGTGATAGATTTTTTCCAGTTTTGGCTGCTCGTTTGCTTATTATAGTTGCAGAAGTGCCAGTTGTCGTCAAAACCTAGTATGTCGTTGCCTTTTTTCGCTTATATTTTTGATTGTTGATTACGGTTTTTCGCTATATTAGGTCAGAGCAGACTATATTCTAGTTATTGTCGAAGAGTTAAGTAAGAGGTATTCGTGTAAAAAAATTATTTATTTTTGATACTATATACTCATTACAAAGTAGCAAATTAGCATGTCCGCAGAATGATAAAATCGTCAAATTAAACAATGTTTGCTTCTATTCCAATATCAATGTACCCACTGGAACGCATTCTGCTGTTCGGAAGCGTTTAGTAGTCCTATCTGTGGCAAAATTCGCGAAACGTTATCACAAGGTCTAAGGATCGAACGAATTTTAAATCGTTCGTGTTAGCGTATAAACGTAATCTTGTTTGCTGTTTAAAATTACATTAAAAGTGTAAAACTACCTTAATTATTTCGTATAAAATCTTAATCGATATTTAATTGTCTGAAAGATCCTTGCATTCCATCTAATTCCACCAACAGCCTCGATTTGGATTCCGGAAGTCTGGCACTCTCATTCGCCTTACTAAGCTTCTCTTCTCTCAAGAACCAGTCTCTGTTTTTCTCAATTTTTCTTTTCCACGAATCTGAATATTTAGTGTAATATGAATAATCTAAATAAATTTATACAGTTTATGAAAAAAATTATATATTTTAGCGAACCATTCAATTCGTCTAAGGTGCCTGCTTTACCACCCCACTCATTTGGAAGAATATCCTTGTCCATATAGGAATGCAATTCTTCACCACCACCAGTGTGAATACGGAACTATGAACAATGCGAGCGTAAGGTAAAATGGCAATTCATGAAACTGGATGAAATTATTTTAATTTATTTCAATGACTCACCTTCTGAACTAGTCGATCTTTCAGCAGTGGATAAAATATATTGAGGATACTTTCTATGAATGCAGGAGCGTGAAGAAAATGGACTCTCTGCAGGCGCAATGGCATGCTATCCTGCACTGCCAACATCGATTTCCGGACAATGCTCTGGGTTGGACTGCACTTGGTAAAGTGTACTACGCTGAATCCCTGATTATTCAAATTAAATTAAATAATTCGAATTAAATATAATACGATATTTTATCGAATCGATCTTACGATACCTCTAGATCGATCACCATAATGTTCGACAGACAACGTTCTTCCATCAGGCGAGTATCCAGGACCATGAGAATCCTTCTGGAGATGGCTTGGATGGAAAATTTCTCTATCGCTGTATTTTTCAATCTTAAAACGCTCACTCGGTGGCCCTCGTCCGTCAGTGATGGTAGAACGAAATAATGGCTGATAATGGAGAAGTTACGTGAAATTTCATAGAAGTTAGTTGAAAGCTAGACAATCGAATAGTTACATCGCTTCGCAGCATTCCTGGATCTCTCGTACAAGTGGATCTCGAACGGCGAAAAACTCGGGAATGGCTGTCCGAACGCTGAAATATCGTTCCAAAATCAACTTGCATCGCTCTATGCTATTCTTACAACCAAACAAGAATCTCTCGAGTCTAGTATCGTCTGAAATTAAATAATTACGACTAATTAGAAACATTTGTTCACGAGAGTTTCAACCTAAACACTAGTGAACTAAATTTTCTAACAGTATCTCTGAAGTAGAAGTATACAAAAATTCCATAAAAATTAAATAAATAAATAAAAGGTATTTAAGTCACTATTTTATTGCTATTGTTTTCTCTCTTTCTTTTTTGATATACTTCTTCGTTATTTCATTTATAACACGAGCAATGATATACAAACAAAGTCAGACCCATATGATTAGGCAGATGAGGCTGTTTCGACAGCCATTCGCGAATGGCAGCCACGTCTCGCTTCCTCATTTCCGGATCCGTCGGAACCTCCTCATTTATCCGTTTCTGCTGCTCTGCTGTCGGTGGTAGTAACGTCATCGTGCACTGTACTGCAACAGATTAATTTTTCAAGCAGAAACCTCTGGTATAACCTCAAACTCGTTACCGCGAGTCTTAGTAACGAAACGCGCTTACGTGCTAATTTCACGGAATGTTTCCTCGCAGAGGAAATGGTTTATCGCGGAAAGTCGTGTGGACAATCAATATTGACAGTCACCATGCTCTTTTGACAGACTTATTTGCGAGTCGAACGTGAAACTCGTCGTGCTTCTTCCGATTTCACGGGAACAAACTGTACCTTCTAATTCAGCTTCCCCGAAACCTTGAATTCTACAATTTCCACGAAAATATTGCACTCGAAATTGTGTTTAAAGAGATTCACCAATATTTGACAAGCTTTCAATCGTAAAGAAACGAATAAACCACGATGGAATTAAGCGTGTCCTCACTGATTTCCTCTTTAATGGATCTGACCCCGAACACGGTCTGTCAATTAGCATGATTATGTCACAAGGACCAGAAATGAATACCTACGACTCGTTTCGAAAAGAATTGTTCTTAAACTACGTAAAAAGTGCAAGAGCGCGAAATTCCTGTAGTTTTTCAATTTAAAATCATTTTTCTTTAATTAAGAAATGTCATTTTTAAATTTGACAGCGTTTGGCCTCAGCATTTCCATATTTTTTAATACTCTGCTCATCGAAATTAAATATACTTTTTTTTATTCTAGGAGGAAGGAGCATGGATAAATTATGGAAAACGCAATAGAGAAGAATTTAGTATAAAATGCCACAGAGATACGGAAAGATTCCAGTTATTCCGATAATTTATAGCAGACCTCGACTACCGAAGTCAAGGAGGTATCTTTTAGATTTCGAATATTTTAAGTTTCTTATCTTTATCTCCATCTAAACAGTTATTCTTACTATTCTAATAATAGCCCGAACATCGAAATCGAGGAAGCATTTGATCGAAGAATAGCGATTCACAAGCAACGCCGGACGCACGTTCCACCATGAAGACACGACGATTTATTGGCGTCGCTTGCCGTTTACGCAAACTATCGAACCACGAAGGTGAAACTATCGACCTGTTCTCAAAGGAACAGCTGGCATATTGGGAAAAGAAGAGAAGAGATTCGACGTGATCGGAATTAGACGTCGATCGTGCGTTGCAACATCGCCGAATCCCGGGTGCAGCCGTATTTTCGTAAGTCGATCGCGGAGAAAGCTCGTTTCGGCACCACGAAATCGAGCCTCGTATCGTCGAAGATCGCTCGAACGTGAGGAAAATTGATTAGACTGGCGTGAATATCGGAAAAAGCGTAAATCAGGAGGAGAAAGCAACATCGATGTAAACAATGAAGAGTGGGACTGCGTATCGTGGGTGTATCTTTGATCGACGAATTCGAGCGTTCGAATTTCTTGCAATTTCTGATCCATACGATTTCTTAAAGACGTTAATTCTATTCATTCTTTCATCTTCTTTTTTTAATTCTGTCGTTGACCGGTCTTTTGGGAAAGGTTTCAGTAGGAGTATCTGTAATCTTTGAATTCATTTTAAACAAGAATTTCTAGTTCCACTAGATCTATGCGATAATTCTGTTTTAAATGTTAAAGAAATGTTACAAGGTCGATATCATTCGTAGGTAGATAGCAGATGTTCGGATTCGGGTGTACATGAAGTCTTTGAGGCCAATTGATTTTTACTGGGATAGTCGAAATGTGATAGGAAGAAGAGTTCCTTCCTTCTCAAAAGGAGATTCGATTATATTATTATTTAACAGGTGTAGAAGCTAGGTTAGTGATTATATTAACGATTGGCTGGTCATATACTTTCGATATCGGAACTAATTGAATTTGCAATTCTTGGAATCTCTTAGCCTGATTTTTTAAGATCATAGAAAATTATGAAATACGTGTCCATGTTTATTTGGTATCGTTCTTCTCTCGTTTCTGGTTGTTAAACATACACTTTCTGCAAATTGACTTCGTTAAATATTACTTGATAAATTAGTTATTATATTTCACTCTTCCACTATATGTTCTATTACATAAATGCAATTTTTCTGGTATTAACATCGATTGTCGTCGATTCCATTTTTAATTGGTTTTAATTAACGCCATTAACACGGTGCCTAAAGTTGTCTTTACTATTCTGTACTCAAAATAAAAACAAATTTCTAATACAAAATATAATTAATCTTTATATTTAAATTATTCGGTAAAATATCTTTGCTATTTTCTCATGTTATTGAAATTAAGAAATAAATGTGTGCTGTAAAGATAATGAGGTAATAAAATCCAAAAAGAAGTATATAAAATAATTTCTGTTTGTTTCTTTCACTTACCAAAGTCTTCAAATGGAGTAGGAAGTTTCCCAAATGATAGGCACTAAATCTTGAAAAGAACAGCTCACAGGTGTAATTTCACGAAATCAGCTATGATTATCACCAAATTATGTGTGTAACCTGTGAAAGCTGACGTGAAACTGCAATGTCCGTGCGAAGCAGAGCGATTCCTTCAGGCTAGTCGAGTGGTACACGTGTTCCCCACCATCGTGGACAAAAAGCGGGATGGAACAGCATGTTTCACGTAGAAATGCGATTAGACCCGTTGGATTTTCTCTTTTTTCCCTTCTATCAACTATATTGCACAAAAAATTTATAATCTAGGACTACTCGTTCCATTGCACAAGCAGTTTTCGTGCTACGCTTAAACCTTTGGTGCAAGAAAATTTGTAATCTTGCAAAATCACGTTAAAATTTCTCAACCATTCATTAAACTCCTCCAAAATTAACATATTTTCCCATTTTATTAAAATTCAAAATCAACCAAATTTTGATATCGTATTAATCCTAAGGGAACAATCACTTCGGATATTTACCGAAATTGATCACTAAATTTTTTAAGAATTTCTTTCAAAGCTACTTTACATTGTACGAAACAATTATTCTCGATGTTTATGGAAAGTTATTGTTACATTTATCAAGAAGGAAATTATTTAGATCGACGATTTCGAGATACAAACGATATCTTCGTCGCCGGAAGTTTGCAGTATTTCTTCGACGGCACAGGAAACTAGAAATCTTGGAACCTCTAAATTTTAATGATTCGACGAAAATGTAATTATCAGGACGAAGAATAGCGAGTGAAGTGAATGACGAAATGTTCGAATGTCTCACCATATGCAATAGCGCTTGCATAGCTTGCATTTGGTGCATTTTGCTCTCGAAATGGTAAAGATACCAGGTTATCGTGGCTATTCAACCTTGAACAAACACTGATTAATCGTGTTGCAGTTTTCCAAATTTAATTGTAATCAAGGAGGTGGATTCCAGCGAGTGCTGCAGTTGGAAGAAATCGAGAAACAAAGCGAAGATTTCGCGAATTGTTCAGTGCTGTATGAGCTCTACTGAGGCTCTCATACGACACAGATATCGTGAACCAAACGCTCAAAAGAATTGCAAACGTCGAGTTGCAATAAGAGAAGAGTCGTCGGAAAATTTCAATTCTTAAAAGAGCAGGAAAAATAATTTTTGTGTCATCCAGGACTCGAAAGACTCAACGATTACAAGATCAAACAGATTCTTCCAAATATATAAAATCACGATATATAGAAAATGTTTAAAAATCCTAAAATATAGCGTACATTCCCATACTTATAATAAAATGTGAACTAACGACATATGTATTAGAAATGTGCTTAAATTTATTTCCAAAATTCAATTATTCTACTCTTCGGATATCGACACGAATTCGGATATAATTTGAGGCTCGAATTGCAATTCAATCATCGGTTCTTTCTTCTCCTCGAGGTTCTGCTTATTGTTTAGGTCTTTCATGACCATCTTCGTGGCAACCAGGTCCGTGTCGTCCAGGATCTGGACAATTTTCTGTACGGTCGAGTACTCCATTACCACTGCTGATTTTGTGTCATTCGTAGTTTGAGACGCCTCCGACATCCTCATCTTGTCCTCGAGTTCCTCGTTGCCTATTATCTCCCTGAAACGATGATTACTCGCTATCAAAAAGGCCTTTATTTACGGGTAAACACAGAAACAAATACAGACGTATCACGTGACGTATATATAAATTTAATACAAACAAATGTAATAAAATTTTCGAACTATTATCTCGGAATTCTTTGAATCTTTTCTCAATCTTACTCCTTATTCTAATCTTTGAAAATCACCGTGCCGAGTTCTGACCGAGCTTTAGAAAGATTTCCAACAAAATTTCGAAGAGAATACTGACAAGGTTTTTGACAGATTTTTGGATCAAATTTCTGATAGAGATATGAGAAAAATTCTTTACGTCAGGGACAATCCTTCGTCGCTAGGTGCCTTGTTCTGTAACTGATTCTTCATAGTGGACCTGGACTTCTGTCGTGGGTTCTTTTTATTTCTGTTCTCTCGGTTCACCGTCGAATTCGATTTACTGCGACTGACAGGGTTCCCGAGGTTATCCTGTTTCGAGTGCACAGGCTTCTTCGATGGATTATTGTTCCTCGACTTGGACAAATTGTGTCTGGTGCTCTGCTGCATGGTGTCCTTCTTGAAACAGCAACGATGTGTTCGATATTGCCACCTGTCGCGTGTAGAAGCATTAAAAAAGGTTAACGAGTTCCGATATTTCGATTACCATAACGCGCAGGTTGTCACGGTGGAGCTGAACATGAAGAAACAGTTCAGCACCGTCAATACGATCAGTGGTTCCAGCATGTTAGGGACCTTGACTCGAGTTCGGGAATTCGCAGTAACGGGGATGACGATGGTTGTGGAGTATCGTGAATTTGGAGACGTCTGTCAATCGAGAAAGTATGACAGTACGATTATGCTCGTTTGGAAGATAGGTGACAAGCGGTCAATTCGAGGTGGTATTATGGAAAAGACTTTAATCTACCTTCGATTCGGGTTACATATAATGATTGAGAATATTCGTAGACTTCTGATTACAGAATTTGATACATTTATTAAAACGCTGCTTCTATCAAGAACAATTTTACAATTGAAAAATAGAAAAGATGATAAAAATTGACCTACCCCAGGTACCAGTCTATTAACAGTCTAATTAAAGATTCTATCTGCACTTAACCTGGTTTCTGCGTTATGCCTTGTATCAAAAATTCATCTAACAGGTGGAACCTCAACTTCTTCTCCACTGTATCATGGAAGATTTTAATTCCATCCTAATAAAACGTGCATCAACATTTGAACAGTCTCGTGTCACTAATTTCTCACATCTGATACCCAAAGTTCACCTAAGAAAAGATGAATGAAAACTTCTTCCAAAATAGCCTAACTTCCACCTAAAAGCTCTCCAATTTTGCCCTTAACAACCTCACCAGATTCGTCCCATAACCATCATACCCGTCTGTCCGATGATCCCAGCGAAACTCGTCCCGGAAGAAGCAGCTCAATTTGTCCCAGATCCTCGTTCAGGATCCATATCTCGCAGGTAATGGACCCGGAAGAGGGGAAGCGAAGTGAGAAATCTACGCAGGAAGCATGTACAGATTACGTTAGCTGTCGACAGGGGTAGCAAACGAGTGATCCAACCCCGCAGAGGCGCGGAACTCTCCTCTGTGGGGGTCCTCCAGCCATCTCTTTCGAAACCAAGCACAATGGCCGCGGTAACCGCAATATAAAAACGGGACCTCTGTTTCCCCGCCGTGACGCATCTGTGCGACGAGATATAACGATGATATTACGATTCGTAGACGTGTCGGTGACTTTTCGTTGCGGTTCCAGGCGAAACAGGCCAAGACCACCCTCGGCGAGATCGCTAAATTCTCGGCTACCTGTCATGCGTGGATTTATTTACCTATTATGCGCTGGACGCGTTATTTATTTATTCTCGAACGTATCGACGATTAGCATCGGTGTGGAGAGTACTGAGAGAAACGGGGGACAGACGGGGTTCGTGCGAATCTTAGTCTGAATTCGAGAGAGGAGAGTTCAATTGCGGATTCAGGTAGGTAGATGGGAATACTAGGGATTGGAGGGTAGGTGGTTGATGGCTCGTTTATGCCGGAGGATTGTCAGTGGGTATGGAAATTAGGGGAGTACGTGGAAGAACGTGGAAGTAGGGGAATGCGAGAATTTATTTGAGAAAAATTGGAGTGTTTTGGAAATGTAAAATAAGTTGCTTATGAGGTTTATATTTTATTACTGATATGATTATCATTAATGTCAGTGGGTATGGAAATTAGGAAAATGTGGATGATATTGACTCTACCTGAGGGAAATTAGAATTTTCAGGATTGTTACAAAATAAGTATCGTATGAAGTTGATATAATATCTTATTAAAAAGATTTAGGTGATTAATTCAATTATTATTCTATTTGTGTTTTAAATTGTTTTCATTTAAAAATTGATAAACAAAATGTAAATCGAGGCATGGTAAGAAAGATTAAAACAGAATTAATACTTGCTTGGCTTATCTTGATTGTAATCGCCTTTTTATTTTAAGTTGAAGTGTAGAAGGTAATAATCTCGTCGAATAAGTATTCGTTAGATAAACAGATAAAATACAGCTTTAAAAGTGTAACTGTATAGGTAAATAAAAAAGTAGCAGGCCCCACGACAGTTTAAAGTAGAATCAATTGATGACTCTATCAGTGAATTTTGAAGTAAGTAGAAAGTTTTCTCTAGTGTGCTTATGTTAATAGATTGTGTTAAAATATGTCAACACGTTCACCATTTACTGCTAATTAATTCCACACATAAAATGCCACGAGAGCCTTGATTATTCATAGTCGTGTATCCATAATTTGTGAAAAAAATCTAGTTATGTCATAGCACTGTCTTTTATATTCAATGACGAACTTGAAAACAGCCTTTCAAAGGATGGACAACATTCTTGTTACTTCGATCATGAAATAAAGATCCGAAGCAGAATTTCTTCTTTGGTAATACTGGAGTCACTGTCATTTTCTTTTGCACGATTGTCCGTGCGAAAATTCTCGGCTATAACAGCCCAATTCCTGAAATATTACCACTCTTTGACACTGGACACGTTTTCTTCCTCTTGAGGATCCTTTTCTGTTCCTGGGAGAGATTCGTCCCACGTATATCTTGGTCACTTGTCGACCTATTCATCGACGACGGCAAACTTCTTTTCGGAAAAAACGTCATGCTTTTCCACCTACGGGCAAGATGGTACATGTCACGCTATTTTTCGTACATCGAAAGCACGTCCTGCTTGTGGTTCGTTTAATTTATTGACCAGAAGCTTTGTTAGACTAGTGGACCACACAGATGGAACGACACCTTTATGAACTCCCACAATAGCGATTATGAACTCTTCGTCTGATCTTCTTCTTTATTCTCCTGCTTTTCCTTTGTCTAATTTTCAATTAATAATAATCTTATTTAATAATTGTCTAATTTTCTTAGAGGCGGGTGAAGGATGACGAGGTATCTATAATTATTTAGATTTTTAATTTAGATCTCTAATTATTTAGATTTGCTTCTGAATGATTAAAATTGGTCGTCAAAGTTTAAAAATAAGCCTTCGAGCGTACCTTCCACGTATGTTCTTTTATTTTTATACAAAGTTCATTATTTGACGCGAATTTGGTAGACAGTAGCGTATTCTGTAGGTCCGTCTGAGAAGAAACCATCCAGTAACAATATTCAAATGATGTTCAATATTCACAAGACGGTGAAATATATATCGGCAACTGAGGGTAACGGAGCAATTTCGATTACGAATTATTATTTGTGAAAATAATCTCTGCAAGAATTACCCGATGGATATTACGGATTAAAATTCGTGTTAAACGGTGCAATCAAGATATTAGGAAAATTGTGTTCCCCACAATGAGGGCTATTTTCACCCCTTGTATATGGACGATGGTCTATCAAAAAATATACGGGTCAAACATTTTTTCGAAAATATACCCTCCATAAATTTCATCAAAATTAATTATTAGCTCCTCTTACACGTATGACTACTAATCAAATATCTGATCTCCACTATATTATACGAATAATTCTCTTAAAAAATAATTCTTTATTGAATAATATCTTTTCCATTTCCGCGCTCGTAATAAACATTTATTCGAAAAATGTTGGAAGGCCTGGAACGGCATTTAGGCAATTTGCTTGGAGGCAGGTAGGTCTCGTGGGATCTTAGTTGGCTAGAGAACGACGTGACAGGTGCCGATCGCGCCCTTTTCTGGGCGTGGGCACTTTAGTACACGGCCATTGATCCATTTTCCTAGTGAATAGCTTTTCGCCGAAAACTGGCTAACGGTTGACTCCTCGACGTCTGGTCCTTCTACGGTTTGCACATAATTACCTGTAATCCGTCAGGTTTGTTTGTACTACCCCATTGTGTCTTCACCTCGAAACGGAATATCACGCTGACAGTGGAACGCAAAGAACAGCTGTAGCTTGTGATTTTTCGAGAAGAATCGCGCCATGAAATTTGTAATTTCGTTGGAACAACGGGGCTTCGAATTACCGTGAAATAACTTCTACGTTCTTGGCAATGTTTAACGTGAAACGGAGTGTCTTCTATAAATTAAAACTACGAAGATCGATTAATCGATAATGACAAGAGCTACTTACTGTCAACTATTCTCCAAAATTTGTTCTCGTTCGTATTTTAATCTTCGTAGAATAAAAACTTGGGAATCGAAATAAAAATCTGCGAATTGTTTTCCAAATTTTTCTCCTCGACATGGAAGAAGCTTCTGCTTAAAATACAATATTTCTTCTTGACACATTTCCGAGAACTCGACGTCCTCGTAGAGGCAAAATCGCGTTGATCTGTCAGCGAATTGCATCGACATTCTTTCATGAGAGGTACGAAAGCTTTGACCACCCTGGACGACTTCCTTCCCTACTAAATTACTCTCTCGATCGTCTGCGACCACTTTTCCACTCGGGCAAAGAGGCTGAAAGAAGTCAAAGATTCTTCTCGCTCCTACGGTTTTTTCCAACCTCGAGTCGATCCCTAAAAATCTCCGAACCGATTCTCACGATCGACGAAGTCTGGAGTCAGGTGCTCGTCTGAATGGATCTCGACTTCGATGCCATTCACTCTTTTTTCCTGGCACAGGGAATAGCCACCCGCCCACCGGAGCCCCGTTTCTGGTGTCAGGGAATTAAGAAAAAAATACGGAGGCCCGCAGACAATGAGGAACAGCGAATGAAGACGATATTTCAGCGTAACATCATGGTATCAAGGATTTTGTGGGAGGAGAAGTCTATTGGATGAAAAATGGGAGTATGGGAGTATCGGTGTTGGTTTCAAAGGACGATTAAGGGCATAACTGGACAATCTGCTGTCAACCTTTTCACTAGTCCCGGGTAGCCTTCGGGATGCGGCCAGATTTAAAATTGAAGCATCAAGGAAGCAAGGAGGGGACTTCTTATAGTTGTTCCAGTAATTACGAATCTGGTCCAAGCCAAAAATAATTTGCCAATAATTTGTCAATAATTTTGCATTTTTTAAATATTACATTGCGATGTAGTTTTAAATAAGATGAAGGAATAACAGAGAGTTAAGAAAGAAAATACAAGATGTCAACTGTTGCAGATTAAAATTATATTAAATTAAGATAAAATTTAAACAAAATTTAAAATTAAATTAAATTAAAAATTAAAAAGAAAACGAGATAAAGATTCTGCGATAATCAGTGTAGGTGACAAAAGAAAGTTCTTAAACTTACATGAAACCGTGCGAAAATTCCGTCATGCGGTTTCTGAAAAGTGTTTCAGAATTATTCTTCCATCCTAAACTATTCTCCCTCGAGGAGATCCTTTTCTGTCTCCTGAAGAGATTCGTTCCACGTATAATATCTTGGTCACTTGTCCTCCCATTCATCCACGACCGCAGACTTTTCTTTACGACCGATTCCCGCTGGAAGAGATGTTCGCTTTTCCTCCTACCACCATGATCATACGTGTCACGCTATTTTTCGTACATCGGGAGCACGTCCACCTCGAGGCTCGCCTAATTTATTGGCCACAGGTATTGTTAAACCAGTCGACCACACAGATGGAACGACACCTTTATGAACACCCACAATGATCGCGATTATGAGCCCTCCACGCTCTTATTTATTCATTCTTCCTAAGTTTTGTTTAACTTTTTTCATAATCCAAGGTGTTACTCATTGTCAGTTTTCATACAAAACTTTTCTTTCTTCACCGGGTTTATAAAAATATTCCTGGAGTAAAAGTCAAAAAATTTCTAACTATTTGAAGAAAGACCTAAATGTTAGATACTTCGTGATGGCTCATGATAGATACTAAACTGATATAAATGATTAACTTTATTTTAAAGTTTCATAGGAACTTCTGACCATTGATAAGAAGACATGTCACTATAGAGACCCAAAGATTACAAACCTAACTTAACTAAAAACTTGATTCCTCGATAAAAATCCAAAGATTTTAAAGCTGACCTAATTTGTCATCTATATAAATATCCTAGGATACCAAAGCTATTTCAACGAAAGGCTCGATATCAGCAAAAGGACCCAGAGACCGAGCAAAGTTCCTCATAATTGAAAGAGCAGTGACGAGAATCGTAAAGCTTGGATTTCATGCTCATTCCGAGGTTTCCTCAATGGCAGACCACGTAGAATATCCGCTGTCACTCGCAAGAACCATCACGAGGTGAGAATTACAGGAGAGAAGGAGTTAGAAGCAATTAGGAGGGTAGTAGAAACGAGTACAATGCAGTCTCAGGAGAGGCGTCGCGTCATCAATCGTCGCGAGGTTCCTCATTGAAGAACCATGGCTCTCTTGGAGAAAGGGAAGCACCGAGGACGACTCATCTGGCCGTAACGAAGCAATTTTCCATGGATACTCCTGCCGTGGATGAATGAGGAACGAGCACTGACTCGTGCACTTTTACGCATCGCAGGCCTGTCCTCGTGCTTTTGCAAATTTCATTCGGAAGCTCTATCTGGAAGTTCATTCAGGAGCTGTTCAATATCGCTTGGTTGACCATCGTAATGATGGTGTACCTGCGAATTCGTCGCAGTGGTGATTCGTCAAGTGTCGACGAGCTGATACTGATAGAGCTCTTCTGGCGATTTTCTGAAACCTTTCCAGTTATGTTAATATTTTGCGATGTTCTTCATCTTTTTAGCCTACTAGCAATAAGTGTTACAGATATCATTATTTATTATTATTTATGGTAAATAAATTCATCGTGTTTCCTTGTCGAAGTATATTTATTTAGGTGTACCTGAGTAACTGAAGCAGACGAAGCATCCTGTTCTTATAATATACTTGGAATTTTGAGTATTCGAAGAGTAAAAAGAGTTCATACAGACGCAAGATGATGTGGTTCACTTCTTCTTCCTTTGTTTCACGTTGTTTGGTTCTTTTCTCGGCGCTTCCTCCGGCTGACATTCTTTTTCTTTCCTAATTAAGATCTTTTCTGGCGTCCGGTGCTGCACTTCCGGTGGCTCCGAAAGCGACGGCTGAAGCTTCGGCGTTCTCAGCTCCAGCTCCACGTTTCTTCTCGGTTGATCAACTGAATCAGACTTCTTTTTCACCCTTAACATGAAGACATTGTCCTTCCCATCGGTCACGCGATCCGTGTGCACTTCCTGGGTCCCAGGTCCGTCGAGAATAGGGTAAATCGTGAATGTTCTGCATTGGTTATTCGTGTATGGACCACCTCTGCATTGACCGACCTATGCGACAAAAATGTTTGCGAAAGATAAATCTCAGAAAATAAGTATATTAGATGATACTCAAGTTCCACCTATTTTCTAATTACTAATTTTGTTTTCCCAAAGATCATAGCAGTTTAATCATTCTTGAAGGTTTAAATGTTACATTATCACTGTGTTGGGCACTATTCTAACCTAATCTATCCTAACTTATCCTACTCTAACTTCTTTGAGAAGAATTATTATAACACTTTAACATCCGCAATGGTTGAACATTTACCCTCAAATTTATTTAATTTCGTGTTTATCACCTATTCAATGATATCCTCTTACTTCGTAAGCAATAGCTTGTGTCATGGCATCGTCGTCATCCTTCGGTATCGCAGATTTCGATTCGACACGAAACAAGATCCTATTATTATCTGCTCCGCTCAAAATCTTCGGTCCTTGCTTACTCGTGGGCCTCTGTATCTCCACTACATCGCAATCACACGGAGGATCCCATTCCTTGGACTTTTTCAACTTCCCCTTTTCCCTCTCCATGCGAATTATCAGCTGATTTCCGATCATGGTCGTGCCGATTTCTCGATAGTACCTCGAGCTGAGGTCGTACGACGGTTTCGAGGGTGGACACTCCGGAGGACATGGTGCAGGTGGCATTGCGGGACAGGAATACATCCTTGGACAAATTCTAGCAAATTTTTAAAAGACAAAAACGATGGTTCAAGCGATACTGAATACTAGTTAATTTAAACGATTGACGACATGACAGGTGGAATTTAGAATTTAGATATAATTTTTCTCCGAAAGTATTTTTAAAGAAAAAGAGGTTGATAGGTTTCAGTTGATAGAAATGGATTTAAAATCGATTATTTCGAGACGAGTTCAGAATGCTGACGAAAGTTGGACACATTCACAGTGTACAATCAACCCATCCACCATGATTCCGTTCTAAGGACACCAAACTCGACACCAAACCCGATCACCATGTTATCCATATCCCTTCCTTCTTCTTCTTCTTCTTATCTCCCTGTTTCACCCGACAAGTACGAATAAAAGTCACGGAACATGATGCTGGCAACTTACAAGTGTGGATGTCCTCCATCAGGGAAGAAGGAACCATGTTCTCCCTGTTGCAAAACCATTAGTTGCGGGAAAAGAGTTATCGTCAAGCCTCCAAGTCCTCAAGATTGCTCTAGAAACCCCTGTTGTCGCAAACCCTGTCCAGAACCTGCTACTTACACATCGAAAGTCGAAGAACCTTCGCCATGTTGCCCTACGATGCCTTCAGGAGACTCGAAGGACTTCGTGAGGCCTCACGAACTTCGTTCAGAGATCGTTGACAAAGGATTGCCTTATAAGGAGCTGGAGGTTACCTTCAATAATAATAAACTGGTGATCAGGACTCAGAAGGAACCGGTGAAGCCGGAATACGATCCTCCGTGCGACTGTGTCGAGGATTCTCAGTCTGAACCAGAGGATTCGCAAGAAATTGGTCAGAATCCAGCTCCAGGAAGCAGGACTGTCACTCTGTATCCACGACCAAAGCAGTCTAGTCCGGAAATGAGTGCGCAGGATGATTCTTCTCAGTATGGAACACACGACGAGGTGAAAAGGATCGAGAAAGACGAGAATCCGAATATATTCCTCTTCAGGATGAAGAAGAAGGATTCTCGTGGTGATAAGAAGTTTAATATTGATCTCGAGTTTAAGACACCACAACCGTGGTCGATGAAGAAGAGAATGGAGTACATGGAACAGATTCAGTTGTTTAGACCGGAGAAATCTTCGATGCTAAGTTCGACAACCTCGATGATGAAGAAAGTGAGGAAAACTGAGGATCGTGTGCATAAGAAGGGGAAGAAGAAGAAGAAGTAAATGTTTCCTGCCATCTATAAACAGTAATTGATACAGAAAATTGTAACTTACCACCGATAGATTAAAATAAAATGTCACGTGAAATATAAATAAATAGTAACTGAAACAATTTTTATTCACTTTGATCGCTTTTAGAAATATCGAATAAAATAATTGAATTGCAGGGCTATAATTATAAGATCGTCTAATTGAAAATATGACAAATTGGAGGTTAGTTTGAACAGAAAGGGAAATATTCGGTTGTTCTGGACAAATTGTTTTGTATCAGGTATATTCTGTAGGATTGACTTAACGACAGGTAGGATGTGCCCCTTTGTAGGCGTAGATATTTTAATATTCACTTATTTCGAAGGTAAGGGGTTCCGAGAGGCTCATTAAATCACTAATTTTCGACGATGTTCTATTATATTAAGGAAACTTTGCAAAGTAATGAAAATTTAATTTAAATTCTTTGATCCATATAGTAGTCTTGTATTTTTTATTTTTAAATGACGAAAGTATATGTGTTTTGCAAGAAACAAAGATGGTCTCGAGAAGTTTCAGAAACTATTCTCACGACTGGATTCAAGAGTCAGATACTCTCATGAATGGACCTCGACATCCATTCACTTCTTGTCCAGGCAATAGGCGTAGCTATCTTAGAGTCCTGTTTCTTCCTACTAGATATTATTTAAAAAACTCAAAAAAATGTTGAGACTAGAATTTAAATATCTAATAACTCAACAAAAATCCTACGAATTTTATTATATACGAAAGGAGAAACTAAAATTCGCATTTGGAGATAAACACACCTGTTCAATCGTTCACCTATCACCACAAAATGTTCAAAAGCAGATCACAATAACAAAATTCTCTATGCATATAATGGGTGTCCCAAAATTCACGCAAGATTTGAATTTTGCGCCATTGTAAAGTGTTGCCAATGAAAAAAGAAGACCAAAATTCAAAATAAAATTCGCATTTCAAGATAACCACGTTTGTCTAATAGTTTAAACATTACCATCAAATATCCAGTAGCAGAAGCTTCGAATATTCGCGTGGCCCTCGACAACCAACCGATCTTCCTCTTTCTTCGCACCATCCTCTGTTCCTTCAGCAGTCTCCTCCATTGAAGACCCAGCCAGCGTCCCGACGCTCGTCGTTCGCGATCTATGCGATCGATCCATATATCAGCGAGTCAACGCACCCTGGGTGCTTTGCGTCCCGTGGAGACAGAGGATACCCGTCGACGGCCACCTGAAGCCTGACCCCCGGCGCGAAGAGAGACGCTGGACGAGGAAGCATCGACGTCTATTAGGGGTTAAACGGTTTTTAAACGGGGAGAGGAACGCATCGAGTGTCAGCGACGCAACAATGACGTGGGCAAACATTCCGATATACAGGACCACCCGCGGGCAGAGTTGCACGACCGTGACAGTGAATCGAGATATTCAGGTAATAGCGGGGAAGATCGAAAGCTTTTCCAGTGTTGAGGAATCGCAGAAGCGAGGACACTTTGGGAATATTACGGAACGTTGCATGTGGGACAACGATGTGAGATATTGCATTAGATGCAGAGGTGTGGATTAGGTATTCAAAAATACATGTACGTATTTTAATAGTAAATTCAAGAAGGTAAACAAGAATATTCTAAATATCGGTATTTGCCGGGGATGGAAGACATCCTGTTACATACAGTGGTTAGGTTAGGTAGCCAAAAATGTGTCAATGTTTCAATGCTAAATTAAAAAAAATAAAAGGAGATACTCTGAAGAAAGGTAAATTAATGCAAAATTGCTATTTGCCTATGGTAGAAGATAATGTATTAGCTGTAGGAGCTAAAAGTACGTGTATTTCAAAATTAAAGGAAGAAGGAGAAATTAATGAGAAATCATAATACTGACAGAACGAAATTTGAATGAATATCTAACAATGAAGGGAAAG